AGAGAGTGTGTGTGTGTGTGTGAGTGAGTGAGTGTTAGAGAGTGTGTGTGTGTGTGTGAGTGAGTGAGTGTTAGAGAGTGTGTGTGTGTGTGTGAGTGAGTGAGTGTTAGAGAGTGTGTGTGTGTGTGTGAGTGAGTGAGTGTTAGAGAGTGTGTGTGTGTGTGTGAGTGAGTGAGTGTTAGAGAGTGTGTGTGTGTGTGTGAGTGAGTGAGTGTTAGAGAGTGTGTGTGTGTGTGTGAGTGAGTGAGTGTTAGAGAGTGTGTGTGTGTGTGTGTGTGAGTGTGTGATGCTCTGCAGGACTCATTCTGTTTGAGGATAAATCCCATCCGTCTCTACAGGATCAGCGTGTTTAATCTCCCACAATCCCTCACTGTAGTGACACACAATCAGGTCTCTGCGCGCAACCCTTCACACCGCATACTGTACATCTGATAGCTTTCACTGCCCTCAGAAACATACGGCTGACCCTAAACGTGACCTCTGACCCCTGACAGAGAGGACTGTGGGAAATAAAGCTGCATGCACTTGACCTGATTTGATTGATGAATGAACACAGTAATCTTCATCAGAGGATGAGAGTGAATGTTAATGAAGCAAATAAAAGTCGCATTAAACACAGGACATTGATGATATTACCCAGCGTTCCGCGTGTGTTTAATATTATAAACATGATTCTGACTGCATCTTCCACTGATGAGATCAGCAAATAACTCATTCGGTGAAGCCCATCAGTGTTCAGTTACTCTCAGACTCCTTGAACTCGTAATTTTGACGCATTTGGCAGAAATGAATCAGTTGAATGTGTCAGATGATCCTGAAGCCTTTAACAGAGTCTGTGAGCACAAAGACTCTCAGTGAAGGAGAGAATGAAGCAGGGAGATGAATAATCTCATGTTTGCAAACATTCAGCCGGTTCAGCGAGCTGGAAGTAACTCTGCTGTGTTATTGAGGTCAGCGAGTCGCTGGCAGATCGAGTGGAACGAACGAGTCTTGAACGAGTCACTGATTCACATCCGCTCCGCGCTGGCCCTTCACAAACATCACACATCATCACAACAAATGCTGAAAAAACGATCAACAGCAAAAGTTTATTCAAACACATGCTCTGGAATTGAGTTTCAGTCGTTTCTGAAGAGGAAATCAGATGAAGAATCAGAACAGAACCAGGATCATGTGTCCGCATATTATTTTTTGTCATTACAATACAAATGTAAAAATATCTGTCATGCCAATAAAGAAGCTTAAACTGAAACTGTGAGTTTATGGGACATTTTCAGTTTACAAATGTCAGTATCTCTATATCATCACTTCACATACAGACTGTGATCACACATGAACTAAATCTATGATCTCATGAGAACATGAGGTTTCTCACAGAAACACGCACTCATCAGCGTCCATTACTCCAGAACATCAAAAGAAGGAACAACACAGATGATCTTGAATGTGGTTGGATTCAATAATGTACCAGAAACATTAAGATTGTATCTGTAAGATGATGAAACTGTTTCACAACAGTGTAAAGACTCTGCACCTAAAACCAATTAATGATGTGCTTAAAAACCTATAAATACAAATAAAACAGAATAACAATAAATGACAGTCTTATACAACTACAGTATTTAAATGTCTTCTGCCATCATCATCAGTCTGGAACAGTTCATATGTTCAGAGACACAAACACTATATTAAAGCTCATTCTACTCCCAAGTCTCTTCTGACACAGCAGACTGATGTACATTCATGTAAGAAGCGGAGATACTGACGGTTCAGTCGTTCATGACCCAGATCTCAGATCACTGGAGGCCTGAAGTGCCCTCGCTCACTCACAGAGCTCCGTGATGCACGACGAGGCCGTTACGCCATCAGCACAGTCCTGATGTTCCTCTGAAGAAACACACAGGAGAAATCTTCATCTGCACTTCAGCCTCGTTACCGTCTGCTGACGGAGCTGAACACAGTTCATCAAGGCTACAGATAAAGCAGATACCAGGTATGCTGTGGTGTAGTGCTGTCAAACGATTAATCGCATCCTAAGTTTTTAACACATATGTGAGTGTACTGTTTATATGTATTATGTATATATAAATACACACACATGCATGTATATATTTAAGAAAATATTTTTATATATTAAATATAATATAAATTATATGAATATAAATATATACATGTAAATATTTTCAAAATATATACTGTGTGTATTTATATATATACATAAATATACACCGTACACACACACATATTATGTGAACAAAAACTTTTATTTTGGATGCGATTAATCGTGATTAATTGTTTGACAGCACTACTGTGGTGTGTTGCTGTGTGGTTGCTAGGGTGTTCTGGCTGGTTGCTTGGTCATCCAGCCTCACGTCTGCTCTCTAGACATGGAGACTGAAGTTTAATGCTCAGGTTTGTCCACATCACTATGAGAACTAGTCTAGACTGACTTAAGATCATCATGGACGGCATGTTAATGTTTCTGATGAAAGACTACAATAGCATGTGCTCTTTTAAAAAATAAAAAAAAACTAACTTTTTACAGAAAAAATAAGAATCATGCATTTTGATTTCACGGTGACTTTAAACACCTGTAATATCAATAATACAGATGTATGTGAGCATGTGAGTCAATCATAAATCAATCACCATTATATTAATTACCAGTTTAACATAGCGATGTGTGATAGACCAAATGTTGGAGTCAAACAGAAAAATGTGATTGTAACAGTGTTGTGATTATAATGCTGATGTGACTGTAACAGTGATGTGATTGTAACGGTGATGTGATTGTAACAGTGTTGTGATTATATTGTTGATGTGATTGTAACGGTGATGTGATTGTAACAGTGTTGTGATTATATTGCTGATGTGATTGTAATGGTGATGTGATTGTAAAAGTGTTGTGATTATATTGCTGATGTGATTGTAACAGTGATGTGATTGTAACAGTGTTGTGATTGTAACGGTGATGTGAACGGTTTTGTGATTGTAATGCTGATGTGATTGTAGCAGTGTTGTGATTGTAACAGTGTTGTGATTGTAGCAGTGTTGTGATTGTAACAGTGTTGTGATTGTAACAGTGTTGTGATTGTAACAGTGTTGTGATTGTAACAGTGTTGTGATTGTAACAGTGTTGTGATTGTAACAGTGTTGTGATTGTAGCAGTGTTGTGATTGTAACATTGTTGTGATTGTAACAGTGTTGTGATTGTAGCAGTGTTGTGATTGTAACAGTGTTGTGATTTTAGCAGTGTTGGGATTGTAACAGTGTTGGGATTGTAGTGATTGTAACAGTGTTGTGATTGTAGCAGTGTTGTGATTGTAACAGTGTTGTGAGTGTTGTGATTGTAGCAGTGTTGTGATTGTAGCAGTGTTGTGATTGTAACAGTGTTGTGAGTGTTGTGATTGTAGCAGTGTTGTGATTGTAACAGTGTTGTGATTGTAACAGTGTTGGGATTGTAACAGTGTTGGGATTGTAACAGTGTTGTGACACTCACAGCGTGGATACCCCACCGGTCGAGGGTTACTGGCGCTGCTGCCAAACGACGACTGGAAGTTATGGATGGTCTTTTGTAAAATCTGTCTTTCCCTCCCCTGTCATGAGAAGATGTTCATTATCACATAATTTACAGTTCAGATGCACCTCTATTTCAGCCTGATCACATACTCACTTTCCCAGCGTTCAGCTCGCATATGGCTGCGAGTATCTGCTGCCGCGGCCCGTCTGTTTTAATTCAAAGCTCTTTCAGGTCTCCGTCAGTCAGAGTCAGAAACGCCTCCATGTCCACCTACATCAAAACATCCATCACTGTTCATCAGACAAATCAGACACGGGTTTGATCTGCCTTTGAATTACATTCAGAAAAGAGAGAGGCAGGCGATGGAAGAAACCAGAGAAATAAACCGGCCTATCTCAATGTGTTTGGCACAAGCTCACCATTACGCCACAATCAGAGCGTTGAAGACTGAAACCATGCTGCATTAGGAACAGAGGACGCAGACAGACAGAAGTCCGACAGATGACAGACACACCTCCTGCTCCTCAAAGATGGACTGATATTTCTCCAGAGAAAGTTTTCTCAGAATCCCTGATAACTCATCTGTGTATAAAAACAACAATCAGCAGCAGAAATACAGAGAGAGACATGTGTGTGCAGTGTTGGAGGTAACGCATTACAAGTAACGCAAGCTATGTAATCAGATTACTTTTTTCAAGTAAATAGAAAAGTAACACATTACTTTTAAATTTACCAGAAAATATCAGAGTTACTTTTCAAATAAATAAAGCAAGTTACTTTGTTTTCCCATTTTTTCACCTGCCCTCATGTTGAGAGAAATCAGGAGTAAGTGCAGAGAGGCACTTCCTTCAGGCTGAGGCTTATTAATTTCACTTTTGGGGCCAGTTTTACTAACAGCTTGCGCCAGCGCGAAACCGTCTTTTGGCGTTAAAATATTACTGTCAAGTTTTACCAAAGACGCACAGTGACGAATTAGCACTGAAAAGGCGTGGACACAGTTATTTTTGCGCATGACCTTATTGAATATGCATTTGTAGGAGTTCCCTTTCAGATGCAAAAATTTATGGGAGGAGAGTATTAAAATGAATCACACAACGAGATTTAGTAACATTTGCCCTCGCAAAATTACTGGTATTTGCGCCATTATTTAACGCCCCCCCCCCCAAAAAGCATGTCTTAAACTATTTTGCGCTTGAAATGGCTGCAAGTATTGTTGCTAAGAGCGCATGGTAGAAGGGAGAGGATATTTTCCACACGTATTAATTTATTTGGAATGCCAGAAGAACACATTATCGTTTGTCAAGCCATGTTATTTTTAATTTTCTTCAGGAAATAAAAGACGACTTGGAACCCTCAACTAGGAGTTACGCAATACCAGCTCTATCAAAACCTCTAGCAAACCTTCATTTTTTGGCCTCCGGTTCTTTTCATTGTACTGTGGTTTCTTTATTCGCGACTATGCTAATTTGCGCTGCGCTTGGTATATTGCATTGGCCGATATGTAAATGAGATGTTGCGTCTGTGTTCTTTAATTTGCGCGTTGTTAGTAAATCACCCGCAGAAATTTCCACACCCATCTGTTTTGGAATTGCGTTCTCGCGCTAATTTGCCCTGTTTAGTAAAACTGGCTCTTGGTGTGAAAGGGCCTTTACAGTTGCCCAGAAATATAACTTTTGGGTTTTTTGTTATTAAAAATAAATAAGCAAGCCCAGCCCAGGTGACAAAAAGTAACGTAAAAGTAACGTAACGCATTACATTACTAAGTAATGCAATTGGTTACTTTTTTGTGGAGTAACGCAATATTGTAATGCATTACTTTTAAAAGTAGCGTTTACTCAACACTATGTGTATGTGTGTGTGTGTGTGTGTGTTATTTGGTCCATGTGTTCAAGTGGGCATGAAGACCACAAGTGTGAGCAGAACTTTGGGACACACTTATAGAAAAATGCAAGTGTTTACAGAGCTTTATTTTGATTTTCAGTACTTTGCATTTTAAATTAAACTTCTAAGGGCCAGTTTCACTAGCTTGCTCCAGCAAACCGTCTTTTGGCGTTAAAATAGTACTGCCACGTTTTACTAAAGACGCGCAGTGACGAATTAGCACTGAAAAGTTATTTTTGCGCCTGACCTTATTGAATATGCATTTGTAGGAGTTCCCTTTCAGATGCAAAAATTTATGGGAGGAGAGTATTAAAATGAATCACACAACGAGATTTAGTAACATTTGCCCTCGCAAAATTACTGGTATTTGCGCCATTATTTAACGCCCCCCCCCCAAAAAGCATGTCTTAAACTATTTTGCGCTTGAAATGGCTGCAAGTATTGTTGCTAAGAGCGCATGGTAGAAGGGAGAGGATATTTTCCACACGTATTAATTTATTTGGAATGCCAGAAGAACACATTATCGTTTGTCAAGCCATGTTATTTTTAATTTTCTTCAGGAAATAAAAGACGACTTGGAACCCTCAACTAGGAGTTACGCAATACCAGCTCTATCAAAACCTCTAGCAAACCTTCATTTTTTGGCCTCCGGTTCTTTTCATTGTACTGTGGTTTCTTTATTCGCGACTATGCTAATTTGCGCTGCGCTTGGTATATTGCATTGGCCGATATGTAAATGAGATGTTGCGTCTGTGTTCTTTAATTTGCGCGTTGTTAGTAAATCACCCGCAGAAATTTCCACACCCATCTGTTTTGGAATTGCGTTCTCGCGCTAATTTGCCCTGTTTAGTAAAACTGGCTCTTGGTGTGAAAGGGCCTTTACAGTTGCCCAGAAATATAACTTTTGGGTTTTTTGTTATTAAAAATAAATAAGCAAGCCCAGCCCAGGTGACAAAAAGTAACGTAAAAGTAACGTAACGCATTACATTACTAAGTAATGCAATTGGTTACTTTTTTGTGGAGTAACGCAATATTGTAATGCATTACTTTTAAAAGTAGCGTTTTCTCAACACAATGTGTATGTGTGTGTGTGTGTGTGTGTGTATGAGAGAGTGTGTGTATTGATGTGTATGCACATGTGTGTGTGTGTGTGTGTGTGTGTGTGTATGAGAGAGTGTGTGTATTTGTGTGTATGCACATGTGTGTATGCACGTGTGTGTGTGTATGAGAGTGTGTGTATTTGTGTGTATGCATGTGTGTGTGTGTGTGTGTGTTTGTGTGAGAGAGTGTGAGTATTTGTGTGTATGTACATGTGTGTGTGTATGCACGTGTGTGTGTGTGTGTGTGTGTATGAGAGAGTGTGTGTATTTGTGTGTATGCACATGTGTGTGTGTGTCTGACCCTCGTCCGTGATGGTGCCGCTGCTGGAGCCGCCACTGCTCTTGGATCTGGGCTGTGTGGACACGGATGAGAGCGAGTCAGCGGCGGCTGGTTTGGGTGTGGGTGATGGAGAGGGCGTGAGGGTGGGCGACGTGCTCTTGGACGTGGACGAGTTTCCTGACTGAGGACACTTCTTTAACTCCAGCTTCTGAAACACACACACACACGGTGAGGTTCAGAATGTCACACACACACAGTCTGCTGATACACACCCGTCTGGAGTGGCCGTCGCTGTGGTCGGTCAGGCTGATGTCTGGCGCGGAGGGCAGTGGCATCTGTACAGGACTGGGCATTTCAGCGGCGGTCCTGCTGTCCAACAGACCGGCTGCTCTCTTCCTCTGAGCCACGATCTGAGACAGAACACTGTCCGCACCGCTGCCGCCTACACAACAACAACACACATGCTTCTATAGCGCTTTATACAGTACAGATAATATTAAACAGCTTCACAGAAATAAACAGGAAAATAACATTGTTGCAAAATTGATCAATTATGAAAGAAATTCAATTTCAGCTGTGAATTTCAGTCATTATTCAGATCAATTCAGTTCCAAACACGATCATGTGATTTAATCAGGTTAGGTTTCTGCAGATGTATGATGTCAGTGAGTGGGCGGGGTCACCTGAGCGGTTGTGGGAGTCGGAGGCGTGGTGGTTGACTCCTGCCACACCATTGTATCCACCTGAGGAGTGGGCGGAGTTATAACTACCTGAGTTGGATGGGGAGGGGCCTTTAGTGATGCTGGGAAACTTGATGGACCTGCTGACCACTCGACTAATGGACGTCTACAACAAACACACACATAGCAGTGATCATCTACAGAAAACATGACTCCAATTAAAGAGAACACTGTAGGTGTATAAATAGAAGTCTCACTATATCGGAGTTGGCGCAGCTGCTCCTGCCGGGTCTCTGCGGCATGTTTCCGCTCCGGCCTTCCTTCGCCGCTCCACAGCGCTCCGAGTTCCACGGCTCAAAGTTCGACGGCGGCAGGAACGGCGGGATGACGGCCTTCAGCTTCTCATTGGGCAGACGAGCGAGCGGCGCGCCGTTCCTCAGCTGACAGACCAATAACGATTCAGACAATCACTCATTTCAAGACTTTGACAAAAGCAGAAACTACACAAATGTACCATCGTCGTGATGAGGAAGTCATCTTTCCCACTTCTTGTTCCATTCAAACCTACAATAAAACAGCATCATGGCTTTACTGCACGTTCATTTTTACTACTATTTGTTTTTATTTTAAATTCTGCACTAAGCAAACGCACAAGGAATGTTTAAAGGGGTCATCGGATGCAAAATTCACTTTTACAAGTTGTTTGAACTGAAATGTGTGTTGGCAATGTGTGTACACAACCACCCTATAATGATGAAAATCCACCCAGAGGTTTTTTCAAAATCCCAATAAATCATGATCACTTTCTCAGATCAGGCTGTTCTGAGATTCTTGGCAGAGTGACGTAGTTCTGCACAGGCCCCGCCCACGATTGTTGATTGACACTGGTGTTTTACAAATAAACTTGACTTGACTTGACTTTTATCACAGACCCTGAGTGAGCTGTCATCAGTCCGCCATTGTTTCACCGCTGAAGCAGATGTAGACAAGAATGACTCCTAAGCGATTGAGGTGTTCTGTTGTTGGATGTAATAATGAACATAGCAGTCGTCATTTACTCCCGACATCCGAGCCGCTGAAGACGCAATGGATTACTATTGTTTTTGAAGGGAATGCGCCCCGATCTACCTAAATGCATTTATGTTCACGCAAATCATTCGTGATCCAGCTTCACCTACAGAAGAATTTAGTGTAAGGTTTTTTTATAAATCTTTGCAAATCGCCTTTCCTAATAATGTGCAAGTTAGCAAGTTCCATGACGAATGAGGCTAAAGTTTACCGTCTCTCAGAGAGCGGCTCGGAAGAGAGGGGCGGAGTCAGCAGAGCTCATTAGCATTTAAAGGGAAATGCACCGAAACGGCTCGCTGTGAACAGAGCTGTTTTTGACAGGGTAAAAAGGGTGTTGTTTTACACTCCCATTGAGAAATTTTAACCGAAGTACGTTATAGACTTTTCATTAAGACCCTAAAGAATCATATCAACTTGTGGAAAATGGGCATCCGATGACCCCTTTAAGCTCAAACGGCTCTGGATGAAGTGGAGCAGATCCACGCACCGCAGTCTTTACTCCTGCTGGTCCACGCGGTGCAGACGTCTGCGCTCGGAGCTCCAGCAGGAGGCGCTGCAGCTGCGCTCGACTCCTCTGCTTTCATGGTGGCGTCCAGAGGAACCTCGTCGGGGAATGGAGCGAGCTGATTGGTGGAGAGTGGATTCAGAAGAAACTTCACCACGTCTTTATTCCTAATGAAGGACAGAACAGGAGCTGAAGAATCACACAAAAATCACACAGTTTTACTCTAGAATAAAGACCCATCTCTTAAACCTGGCTTACACATAACACACGAACACATTTCTAATATTCAAATCCGTTAAAGGATTGTTAGGCTGCATTAATTAGGACAACCGGAACCGGGAACACTTCCCATAACACCCGATGTACTTGCTACATCGTTAGAAGAATGGCATCTACGCTAATATTAGTCTGTTTCTCTCTTATTCCGAGGTCACCGTAGCCACCAGATCCAGTCTGTATCCAGACCAGATGGTCACTGCAGTCACCCGGATCCAGTACATATTCAGACCAGATGGTGGATCAGCACCTAGAAAGGACCTCTACAGCCCTGAAAGACAACGGAGACCAGGACAACTAGATGAGCCCCAGAGACAGATCCCCAGTGAAGACCTTGTCCCGGTGGCCATCTGAGACAAG